TCTTAACCACTGCGCCACCAGGGAAGCCCTCTTTTTTCTCTTTCTTTCTTTTTTTCTCTCTCTTCCTTCTTTCTTTTTTCTTTTCTCATTCTTTCTTTCTCCCTCTCTTCCTTCCTTCCTTCCTTCCTTCCTTTTCTTTCTCTTTCTTTCTCCCTTCCTTCTTTCTTTCTTTTTTCTTTTCTCTTTCTCCCTTCCTTCCTTCCCTCCTTTCAATCTTTCTTTCTTTCTTTCATGGGTAGGATGGGGAGAGGACCTGGAGATTTCTCTTTCTTCTTAGAAGCTCAATGATGCATTTTGAAGGATGTTTGGAAAGAGGCAAGATAGCAATAGGGGCTGTAGCATGGATTTCTTTGGGGTAGGAGTAACTTTTACCTGATATAATTTTGAACTTATGGAAAGTTTCAAGACTCATACAAAGAGCAAGATAGGTGCAGGGGATTAAGGGGTACAAAATACTATGTATACAATATATAAGCTACAAGGATATATTGTATAACACAGGGAATACAGCTAATATTTTATAATGATAAATGACTATGGTGTACACCTGCAACTTATATAATATTGTACATCAACTATACCTCAATTTAAAAAAAGACTTGTAGGGATTTCCCTGGTGGTGCAGTAGTTAAGAATCTGCCTGCCAATGCAGGGGACACGGATTCGATCCCTGGTCCGGGAAGATCCCACATGCCGCAGAGCAACTAAGCCCGTGTGCCACAACTACTGAAGCCCGTGCGCCTAGAGCCTGTGCTCCGCAACCAGAGAAGCCACCACATGAGAAGCCCATGCACCGCAACGAAGAGTAGCCCCCACTCGCCACAAATAGAGAAAGCCCGTGTGCAGCAAGCAACCAAGACTCAACACAGCCAAAAATAAAAATAAATAAATTTATTTTTTTTAAAGATATTTGTACAAAGAACTCCATACATCCTTAACTAGGCTCCCCAATTATCGCTATTCCCACCCCCTTTTGCTTTCTCATTCACCCTCTATGTCTATATATTATTATGTATTTACCTTTCCAGAGATATTTGAGAAAGCGTTGGAGATACCATGCCCCTTTGTCCCGAAATACTTCGGTGTGTATTTGCTAAGAACAAGGACATTCTGTTTAATAACCGCAGTACAGAGATCAAACCCAGAAAATTTTAACATGGATAAATGACTACTATCTAAAGTTCAGAACTCATTCAAATTTCATCGTGTCTTGTTAATATCCAGGATATCACCTGGATTACTCAACGAACTGCATTTCCTTGTGCTGACTCTGGTCTCTGTTCATATACATAGTTTCATCTTTTGCTTGACCTTGACATTTTCCAAGAGTCGAGGCCAGTTGTTCTGCGGACGGTTGTCGATCGTCGACTGGAATTTGTTTGATGTTTCCTTGTGATTAGATTCAGTTTAGGCAGCAGAGTTTCTTAATCTTCCCAAATTCCACCCCTCCCCCCCGGGAGAGCCAGTTGGATAGTAGAAGGTCACAAACAATGCTTTACAAAACCAGCCGACAGTGGAGCCCCATGAACCCTGAAATATGAGTGGGTGAGGCCAAACCAGGGCCAGTACAGGAAGAAAAGGAAATGAGCAAAAGTGCTACGGGGCTTCCCTGGTGGCGCAGTGGTTGAGGGTCCGCTTGCCGATGCAGGGGACACGGGTTCGTGCCCCGGTCCGGGAGGATCCCACATGCAGCGGAGCGGCTGGGCCCGTGGGCCATGGCCGCTGAGCCTGCGCGTCCGGAGCCTGTGCTCCGCAGCGGGAGAGGACCAAAAAAAAAAAAAAAAAAGTGCTATGAAGATTGGAAACTTCCCACCAGTCCTCACTTCTAGAGGAGAGGTTGCCCTCATAGCTGAGGACTTGGTGAGATAATCTGAGAACAACAGCAAAATGGTGTGTGTGTGTGTGTGTGTGTGTGTGTGTGTGTGTGTGTATTATGGGAGTGGGAATTCCCTTGTGGTCCAGTGGTTAAGAATCCGTCTTGCAAGACAGGGCACGCTGGTTCGATCCCTGGTTGGGGATCTAAGATCCCACATGCTCTGAGGCAACTAAGCCCAGGCACCGCAACCACTGAGCCCATGCACTCTGGAGCCCACGCGACACAACTAGAGAGAGAAGCCTGCACGCTGCAACAAAGAGCCCACGCACCGCAATGAAAGATCCCACATGCCGCAACTGAGACCCAAAGCAGCCAAAAATAATAATAATCATCATAATAATAAATAAATATTTTAAAAATTGTGTGTGTGTTTGTGTGTGTGAAGCTTCACAGGCTCCAGTTAGTAATTGGGGTGTGCTGGGGTGGTCTGGGTCCTCAGAGATCTCAGAATTACTCAACGGAATCTCTCTTTTGGAAGAACAAAACTCCATACTTAAAAAAATATATTATTGAAATCTATTGACAGATAATATTGTATAAATTTAAGGTATACAACATGTTAATTTGTACATTTATATATTGTAATATGATTGCTATTGTAGTGATAATTAGCGTCTATCAGGTTACAGAATTATCCTTTCTTTTTAGTGGTTGGACAAAGCTCTATTCTTGTGAAAACGAATGGAAGCAAAACCCAGATTGATTTTGGCAGGAACTCTGGGAGTAAAGGAGAGAAAAGGTTCAGGTACGGCCGGGGGATGGGGGGGGGAAGTAAACAGAGGAGGTATATCTCTCTCTGAAATATTGGCAATGTGGCTATGCTGAGAGGTTGTATTTTTTCGTACTGTATGGAAACAGCAGAGAGTGAACTATGAGAATGATGAGGCTAGGAAAGCTATCCTGGCCACCCCACTCCCTACCAAATTCCTCAATTACTTACACATGAGCAAGAGAAGATGGATTGTGACAACTGCAAATAGAGATGCGTACTGAGTTAAATAGCATCCCCTGGAAATGCCCATCCCCTGGAACCAGTGAATGTGGCCGTATTTGGAAATAGGGTCTTTATCAAGTTAATATGAGATCATACTGGGTTAGAGTGGTACCCTCGTAAGAAGAAACAGACACTCGGGGAGAAGGCTGTGTGAAGATGCAGGCAGAGATAGGAGTGATGTGTCTAAAGCCGAGGGATGCCAAGGATTGTCAGCAACCACCAGAAGCTGGGAAGAAGCAAGGAAGGATCTTCCCCTAGAGCCTTTAGAGAGGGCATTGCCCTGTTGACACCTTGATTTCAGACTTCTAGCCTCTAGAACTGTGAGAGAACAAACTTCTGTTGTTTTCAGCCCTGTAATTTGTGGTACTTTCTTACCGCAGCCCTAGGAAACTAATAAATCCTCATTCCGTTCTCCCACCAGTTGGTGGCAGCCACTAATCTGATTTCTGGCCCTATGAATTAGCCTTTCTCCCAGAATTTTGGATTCAATAGGTCTGGGCTCCAGAATGTGCATTTCTAACAAGTTCCCAGGTGATGCTGATGCTGCTGGTTTGGGGCCACGCTTTGAGAACAGCCACTCTACAGCATGGCCACCCCCCAGCCCCAAGAGCTCACCCTGGAATCTGGACTCTCTGTCAATCAATTCACCTACCAGCTCCCCTTCCCAGACTGGCTGCCCAGTTTGCTGTCAATTTCAAGGGGAAGCTCTTGCAATTCTTTTGGTGCCTGTCATAGTTCCTCACTGATCACACTTTGTACCTCACCCAGTGGAGGCTGCCAGGAGTCAAGTCTAGAAGCATTCAGAGACAAGGAGGAAGATCAGCAGCCCTGTGTCAGGCAGCAACCTCAGAGGATGGTCTTTGGACAAGGGGACACTAATCTGCTTCTACCAGAAAGGAGGCACTACAAGTTAGGAGCTCAGAGTGCTCAGACAGAGTGACAGGTGCTCGTTTGAATACATTTTGCAGGTTCCCTGTCTGATTCCCTCTTTCTGGGTCCCCGCCCCCTGTGGCATTTCAGATTCTGTTTCCAGTGAGAACTTTCCCTTGACTGAGCCAGTCTGGTTCCATCGGAGTGGAAAACTGTATTTTCTACAAGACACAGACCTTCATTTCCTCCAGGCATTGAATCCCTTCCATGACCTTCTGGGACCCACACTTATATTCCTTTTGACTGAGATGTTCCTCTCACTTGGACCTTGGAATTTAGATCAAGGGCTTGAGACCACAGCTCCTGTGAGGCTGCAGTGGTCAGTCAGACACCTGGGGTCCAGCCAAAGCTGACCCACCCCTGTGAAATGTAGTCTAAATCTTTGACTTCAAATCTTTCCTAACCAGGAAATAACTTGCACAGCAATATGGAAATCTAAGTTGTGGAAAGGGAGGAAGATGGGCAACGTGCTCACTGAGATTGGATTCTGTGACAGTCATTACACTCCAAAGTCCATAAGCACCTGGATGGAAGCATTCAGATTCTCAGGTCCTTTTCCTGAGACCCAGGACTCCCAATCTTCAGCCCCTCCTCTCTCAGACCAGGGTGCCCCGGTTCTTATTCCCCTGTTCTCCAGGATCCAGGTGTCCAGTTGTCCAGCCCACTGATCCCTCAGGACCCAAGAGTGTGTTCCTAGAACCAACTACACCCCCAGAATCCAAGAGTCCTTGCCCCAGCACTGAGGACCAAGATGTCTTTCCATTCCTAGTGCTAAATGAACCCAGAAAACTACATTTCCCATGAGGCTGTGGGTCTGCTGTCCCCTGTTATTAAAATGTCCCCTGTTATTGAGTTATGTCAGAGAAATAGTTCCACAACACTAACACAAGGTTGGGGACAGGGGGAGGGGGAGGGAGAGAATAACAAGTTCTGTCCTGTCAAAGGGCAGGGATAGTCCAGAGTCCCTGGGAACAACTTAGTGGAGCAGAAATCTGAGGGCTGGCCAGGGGAGGGGGGCAGAAAGGCTGGGACCTTCCCACAGCCTTGTGGCAATGGCGGGGGGCAAGGGGAGACAAGGAAGCTGACCCCATTTCCTCCCTCAAATACATGTGCTCACTCTGATCCTCCTCTCAGACTCTTTATTATTTCAAGTAAGAAAAAAAAGAAAATAAATAAGATAAATAATACAATAAATAAAGAGGAGACACAGTAAGAAACAGCCTGTGGCTTCAGGAAGTGTAGCTGGGGCTTCGGCCATGTGAAGGTCCCACCATGCTCAAGGGGTCCGAGGAACCCACGTTGGGAGGCTCGGGGGCCAAGATCCCTGGAGGCTCCAGGGGTGGTGGGAGGAAGCCTGGCAGCGGCAGGAAGCGAGCAGGTCCCCGGGGGGCCAGGTCCCAGTTGGAGGAGCGGTGCGGGGGCAGGCGGAGGGGAAGGCCAAGAGCCTCAGACTGGTAAACGTTGTATCCATCCTCAAGAAGCAGCTCCCGGAAGCTGCAGGCCTGGGGGTCGAAGTGGAGCTGAGGATGTGGGATGAGAACAAAGATCAGAGACGTGGGATTCCGGTACACCTTCCTCCTGCAGGAACCCCAGCTCCAACCTCTCCCACACGCAGGGGTGCAGGCCCCCAGCTCTCTCTTCTTTCAGACCACAGAGTCCTGTCCTCCAGCAGGATGTGGGAGTCCCGGGACTCCTGGGGAGCCGGGGAACCCACTCCTTCCTCAGATGCAGAGTCCAGGTCCCCAGCCACTTCCTCAAAACCACAGAAGCAGGCTCTTCCTTTACCCCTAGGCCGTCCCGCCAGGCTCACCTCCTTGCCCTCACTTCACAGAGAAGAATATTCCAGCCCAGGGATCAGTGGAGGCTCTCTAAGACCTGGCAGGGGCATCTGGCATCTGGCTAGCACCCAAGGTCATGTTCACTTTACAGGCCATCGATTCCCAGAGTGACCCTGCACCCAGCATGAGTCAGGTCTGTAGGAGTCTGTGTGGTCAGCATGGGTTACGAGTCACAAGGCTCGGTCTCCCAGGTCATTCTGTCATTCACAGGCTTTGGGACTTGGGGCCGGTGGTGGCCCTGCCTGAGCCTCAGTTTCCTCTTCTTGTGAACATGGATGACAACAGCTGCCCTCTCCAGGGATTGTGGCGAGGTCGGGGCATGCAGAGAGCATCGAGCCGAGCCTGGCCAAGGTCAAAGGTGCAAAACATGGTCCCCCAGCCTGTGAGGGTGGGGAGAGGAAAGGTGGAGCGCAGGGACAGGGGTCCTGGGAACTCACCGATCCATACAGCCTCCCCTCTGGCCCCTGGCACAGGAACCTGGATGTTTTAACTCCCAAGATTTGAATGACCCCTGGCTTTAGGGCTTTCAGCTCCAGAAGACCTGAGAGGAGAAAGTGATCAGCGACTCAGAAGGCCTTTGCCAGCCCCTCTCTCCTCCTTCAGGACCAGGCCCTACCCCTACACTCACTTTCGGGGCTCTGGCGGGCCGTCCCCACCACTGTGCCATCAGCCCTGATCTCCAGGTGGGCCTCCGTCTCCTGGGCGTCATCCGTGTAGAGGTGTCGCTGGCGGACTTGGCCCCCAAATTGGAGGAGGGGGCTGGAGTCAGGAATGGGATGTGCCTGGCAGGCTCCCAGCAGGACAGCTAGCACAGGGACCCACAGTCCCAGGTGCTCGAATTTGGCCTTGTCCCAGCCCATCAATGGTTCACGTCCTCAAGTGAGGTATGGGGTCTGGGCTTTGAAGACCTGAATGGTCTAGATTCTGTTTCAGAGCCTGGTTGTCGGGGAGAGCAGATTCACGATGGCTTCTCTGGTAGCTGAAATGCCTGGGTCCTCTTGCACGTAGATTCACAGCAGACAGGACACCCAAATCTCTTGGGAAGAATGCAGATGCTCCAGAATTTATACCCAGACAGACCCGCCCAATCACCTTCCCGACGCTTGACCCTTGATATTTGACCCACATGGCAGATGCTAGAATTCCACGGTGGCCAGGTCAGCCTGAACGGGTGATGCAATCAGGGGTCCTTCCAGCTGGGGCCCTGGGCTCCTGGGTCTGAGGCATCAGGGGGATAAAAATGTGATGAAGTGGGACCTGAGTGAAAGGGGCTGGGGGCCCAGACCATTTGGTCTGAGGGAGGAGGGAGCTGGGGTTTCAGACTCGTGGGTCTGAAGAAGCAGGAGGCTGGGGGTTCAGGCTCTTGGGTCTGAGGGAGGAGGGGGCTGGGGGCCTGGACTCCTGAGTCTGAGCAGGAAGGGGGCTGGGATCCACCTCTCTGCCTGACTGATGCAGATTGTGTCCCACAACTGGCATTTCTGCACCTCACCTGACTTTTTGGGTTTCTGGGGGTATGACACTGAGGTTCCTTGGTCATTAAGAAAGCAGCAAGTGCCACATGATCCAAGCGTTCTCCTCGAGGACACAGGAGTCCTGGTGTGGGAGCTTCAAACCAACCTGCTCACAAATCCCAGCCCAGGCACTCATACACCAAACATCCCGGCCTCCTCCTCCTGGACCCTGATGCAATCCTGATGTTTCTTTCACCAGAGAAGCTAACCAAGATCAGACCGGTGCCCTCAAAATAGCCTGGGGAAGTGGGGGAGGGTGAGAATCTTTGACTCAGAGTTGGCAACTGACGCAGGCTCAGGGGGGAGAAGTTAGACCCAAGATCCCAAAGGGAATGAGGGGTTGGGCAATTTCCTGGAACCTAAGCGTGCAAGAGTCTGAACACCAGATCTGAAGGAGGCGGGTGACTGGAGGCCCGGACTTCTCATTCTGAGGAGGGGGCTGGGGGCTGGGAATCCTGGGTCTGGAGAAATTATGATCAGATCTCTGGAGAGTCAAGTCCAATTCCTGGGTCTTTGCTTTCTTGAATGGTGGTAATGGTCAGACCGCTCGGGCCAGGCTGGGGCTTGGTGGGAGGAAGCCTCGGTGGAGGGAAGCCGCCTCGGGTCTGCAGAAGAGGGAGGCTTTTGCTCCTCGCAGGGTCTGCCTCGGCCTCCGTGGAAGAGAGTTTCTTTTCCACTTCTGCTTTCTCTGTTCCCGTCCTCGGGAGAGGCGGGACGTTCGCTTCACCGTCAGGTGCCTGACGCTAGGGTTCGCTCAGACGGAGAGACTGGGAGCCGGGACTCTCGAATTTGCGGGTGGATGGGGCGGAGGGGGGATCGGCGGCCGCTGG